TCACGTTATGTTCGAGAAAATGAAAATTTTGAAGCTCATGGTGATATCGGAGAAATTTGGTAGCACACACTTTCTTTCTTATCTATTCTAAATAATATGATTAGGATTAACGAAAAAAATCATTTCAAAGGTTCGGAGAGGACAGTGTAGAGAAAATAGTAGATTGGGTAATTGGATCGCAGAATTCTCATTCGTTCAGCTTTGTTCTCTTGTACCTGTCTATCGCACAAGATATTTCACATTCTATCTGATAAATTACAGGTATTGACCAATGCCCCTGCAAAGTCCGTACCAATTCTTGACATTGGATGTGGAAATGGCCATGTTCTGCTAGAACTTGCCGATCAAAATTTTACAGATCTTGTTGGAATAGATTATTCATCGAATGCTATTAGATTAGCTATTGATATTGCAAGAAACCGTGGATACGATCAAGTTATTTCATACTATGTTGTAGATTTACTGGATGATAACGGGACTGCAGATGATGGTAGCTCTCGCTCTACTGAGTTCCAAACTCGAGGGAAATTTAAAATTATACTTGACAAAGGCACATTTGACGCAATAAGTCTTGCGCCTCAGACCCTTACACTCCAGTGTGATGACTATTCAAAAAAAGTACAATCTTTGCTTGACCCTGATGGATTTTTTCTGATAACGAGTTGTAACTTTACCCAAGAAGAATTGGTGAAAAGATTCAGTAGAGGTAAGATTTGTTTAATATTAAACGGATTAATGAATTCTTATTAATAAATATTAACCGATCTTACATTTCAGAGTTTGATTATTTTGAACATATAAAGTATCCCACTTTTACCTTTGGTGGTGTGACCGGACAAGCCATATCAACTGTTGCTTTTAAACCAAAGCTATTGTATTGATGTAGAAAATAATGTATACAATTTATTTTACTTGCTAATAAATATTAAACACTTTCATTTATGTAACATTTTTCCAAATAAATTTGTATCAGTATTATTATAAAGTTTCCTTTATAAAAGCCTCTATGTTTCGTATTTTTGATAATTGACTATTAAAAAAGAAAATTACAAAGTTAATTATATTATTTTTATTTTTATCAAAATTTCAAGTTTTAAAAAAAAAATCAAAATAATAATTGTATATTTGAATAATTGAAATGTTATTTTATTGATAAAATAAAAATTTTTTTAATTATAATCAAAATATTTCTTTGTTTAAATAATACAAGTTTTTTTATAAGTAATATAAAATAAAAGTTTTTATAATTCAAATTTGTTAAATATCTTGAAATTATTAAAAATCCTATAGAGGTTTTAAATTATAATATAAATATATATATATATATATATATATTTTTATAGTAGAATGACATTAGATGCAGGGATTTTTATTGAAATAATCATCAATTTACATATATATCAAACATCATCTATTGTAATTACAACAGCTAAATGCTAGCCTATCTACTTTTAATGCCCCAGCGATACTAATAACACTATTAAAGTGGGTTCATATTTTTGGGGAAACCAATCTAGGGGATGGAAATCCTACCACTAGTTTTAAATCATCCAATCTACTGGTCCAATTTTGTGAAGGCAGTCAATGCTACTGACTATCTCCTAAGTTACTTGTCATATCACACCTCTTCGCACCTTCATTCTATAGCAGAGAAGACCCCGACACTATGGGCTTGTACTCCCTAGTGAATGCTTCAGTTTTAATCTGCTGATTGGTGCAGGCTGTCAAATCTAGGGACTCTTGTGGCCAAGTGAAGCACAACTCCTAAGGACCATATAGGCCATAACTTAACAAGCTCCCAAAGTCCTTTATCTCCTAGTAGACACTCCAGTTTGAAACCAGTTGGCATTGGTTACCAAATCTAGGGGCATAAATAAGGATCCTAACGATTCTATGTTCGATTCCATTCGATTCCAACTCTTATAGTAAATTTAATAGGTGGATTATAACCCACTTATGTTTTTTATATGTATGCGAGTCCATGCGAGTCTATGCGATTCCAATTTTCGGGATCATAGGCATAAATACCAAGTAGGGCACAACTCCTATAAGCATAGATGGTGTGGTATGTCATATTCCACAAAACTTCAGTATCATTCAGTATTTTTTTCAAAGCTTCCTTATTTGCTAGTCAACAGGGAAAGGAAGAAAAATAGTGGATTGGGATTGATTAAGATGGAGCACAATCCAGTCTGTGTATTTAAATGAGTGATTGTGGTTGATAGTTGATAAAAGTTAGATAAGATGAAGTATAGTTCAGTCTATATATTCAAATATGTGGTGACACCTTTTGTTAGACAACCATCATAATACTAACAAGATGATCGTTACACTACTACACCTTAATAGGAAGATTACAATCTCAATGCCTGCTGGATCAACATATAAAATGGCTTCTTATGAGAAACAGTATATAATTGGCTATAGTGCCAGATACCATGTCAATCTATTCAATCACCTTTATATAGGATTGAACCAGTATCTTGTAATCTGACCTGTGAAGCACTAACCACTATGCTATGGATCCACAGGTCAATTAATTATAGTATAAATATTAATAATTGGTTTTTAATTTATGTATAATAATCTTTCTAAATCAATTTTTATTTGATTTTCTTAAATTATTTTTTTTTTTAAATTTGATTTTTAAGATTATAATAAATAATAAATATATTTATATCAATTTTAGAATATATTTTATTTGTAAAAATAATTTTATTTTTTTTATAAATATAATATTGTTTAATATTTTAAAAAATAATATTATAAAAATAAGTTTATAAAAAAATTATTTTATTATTATTATTTTTTTTGAAGGTAAATGGACATTCAATATCATGGTTTTTATTGAATTATTATATTCATTAACCATACATTTGTGGTCTTATATACTGTATATTAATATTACTACTAACTATAAGTTTAATTATCACCAATTCACATTCTTTATCCAAATACCAACTTACACCATATAGGTGGGCCATATATAGGTTTTATAGAGAATATTTTCTTAATTGATACATACTAATCTTTTGTAAATTATCTTGTTTGAATCATGTCTTCAGTTCACATAGCTGTAAATAGGATTCGTATATATTTATATATTTCCTAATAAATGCTCTGAAAACTGCAATCCTTAATTGATACAAGTTACCAAATCTAGGGACATTTAATATCAAGTGGGATGTAACTTCATAAATCTTCTAATAGACACTCTAAGGAAATTCGATTGATCTAAGCTATACATATGGTGGAATTGAATTCAACCATTTTTTAAAAATCATATTATGATAGAATTACTAAGTAATATATAGTAAATAATTGGAATTCGTATTTAATTCAGAATCATATTGTTGATTAAATTTCCTTTTATGGTAATACGACCACATGTATAGTCTAAGCTATCAAATCTAGAGACATGAATGTCAAGCAAAACATAACTCCTACATATAATGACATGACCTATACACTTACATCATATATTAGTATCCATATCAATGATCCCTTCAAGATTCGTTTATAAGAAAATTAAATTAAATTAAAGATTTAAAGATATATAATATAAATAAAAAATAATGGACCTGTGGATCCATAGTATAGTGGATGTGCTCCCAGGTTTTCAAATGCATGTCCCTAGTTCAATACCCATAGGGGACAATTACATAAAATCATTCTTCATTTGTGGGTTTACCGGTTTTCCTACAGATGTCATACCCAAACATCTGGATCTAGCCAAATTTAGTTAGGCTACATGAAAATGGGACCTCTGGTTTT